AGATGCATCCGTATAGCCAGACGTCGTTGTCGCCAGCTGTATACATCAATCTGCGTCCCTCGCGTCGATCGAAGAAAGAGATGGTGAATATATCCTGGGTGTGCTGTAGGCTGTTAAGACATAGCGACAGCGAATAGTCGCAATAGCAGTCATAGCTATCGTAGCGGGCGAAGCCCGTCTATGATAGCCATTGTGCAGCTCCAAGACACGCACAGGTCACCCGATGCCTTCTCAGAGCTTTCGTGGTTCGAGCGTGGTCCACTTCCAAGTTTTGGTGTTCCCGATGGCCCCCGGCCCAAATCCAGCTTTTCACGCGCCAAAGCGTGCAACATTGAACGCCTCATTATATATATCGATCTATTTGTCTAACCTTCGCCTTCGGGCATTTGGTCAATTTGAAACGATACAGAGAAGATTAGCATGGCCCCTGCACTAAGGATGACACGCTCAATCAAAGAGAAGCTACCATTTTTTTGCTCTTTGATCTGACTCCTCCGCAAAGTTAGTGGGTGAAGACCCGGGTTCGAGTCGAGCCCAATCCTTCTTTTTGCACTCTTTTTGCTGCGCAAGGGTCCAGCGACCTTTCTTTCCGCACGATAATGATCCACCATTTCCTCTGCACTTCACATTTTGCTATCTTCGCAAACACAGATATCGCATTGTAAATCCCTCCAAAATACCCTATCTACTCCGGCGCCAGATCCAGAGCAAAAAAACGGTAGCTTCTCTTTGATTGAGCGTGTCATCCTTAGTGCAGGGGCCATGCTAATCTTCTCTGGGGGGGCGCCGCTGCGCGGCAGGCTGGCAGAGGCGGCGGGCTCGCTGACGCTCGCCAGCCGCCTCGCCCTGTACTCTGACTGTGTCGACTCAGCGTTGTCGCAGACCACGCCCTGGTAGCTACTATCCTAGTATTACCGCCTTTTGGGTTGACGCGGCGCTGATGTAGGCGTCTGGACCAATCTTTTAGCGACAAGATATACGAATAGAACCTTGGAAACTGGGCATTCGGTGCAGGCTCGCAGGTATAGCGCCTTCGTTCCAACCACTTTTGCGCGCGTCTTCAGCGATATAGCGAAGTCACACTATCGTAGTATCAGTGTCGGCTCAAAACTCCTCTTCCTCAGAAGCACCCATAAAGGAACACATTCCGTGAAAAAATTACCCGCCTTACATACTATTTTTCTCAAGAGAGACGCCGCAACGCTCAACGGGCTCGCACAGGATCTGGATTACTCCTGGTCCCGTGCCATCGGCAGTCAACACCTCGATATCTCTTTCGAGATCTCGATAATGCCTATCACCGGGCCTGCAGTCGAAGCACGCCTAGAGTCAAACGAGGTATGCTTTCTGTGCCGTTGTTCGCAAGCCCTGGCAACTACATACATTGGAATATTGCGTTTCAGGTTATTGTATTGCCGATGTAGTCGCCTCGGGTAAAATAATTTTGTGACAATACGCAAAAAAGATCTCTCGTCCTTTTTGTCTTCTAGCTCTGGCAGAGTCTAGAACTCTCCTGTCTCTTGTCGGCGGCATCTCAAAGACACTGGCCTAGTTCCGTATATATCAGCCAAACGCCTCGAAAGTATTTCTCACGGCCTAGTCCTGGGTACGGAGCCCCTGCCACTTCTCTCCAGCATCCAGTGGGTGGAGAGCGTATCTACATCGTGGTCGGCCGCTACGTTTGTTGGCGAGATACCGGCGACGTGGTCGCAATTCTTCAGTATCCAAGGCGTTAAGCCAGCCGCCGAGCCGATTGAGGCGTGGGATGGCTTTGTCGGCAGTACTATCCACCATCATCCAGGGCCGTCCTTCCAGCTCGTCACCGTTTCGAATCCCGCTGACTCTGATGCCGAGACGATCAGCGGGGTCGTCGTATGCGAGACGGGCACCGTAATCGCGAGCGATATTATGTGGGTGACTTCCACCCACAAAGCCCCAGATCTAGAATTCGTGATTGGCTTTGCCGCATACATAGCCTTGGGAAATTTTGTTCTACTAGATCTTGAGTGGCCCGGGAGCACTTCATAGACTTCTCGGAATTTCCCCAGCGCCCCAGGAATACGTGAGAACCTCCAGGCTCGGCCGATATATACCTGGGTAAGGTCGCATCGCCTTTTGAGAGAATGGCTTTGTCGCATACATCGCATCCCAAAGTTTTGTTCTTACGGGTAATGTAGGACCCGGGAGTACTTTAGAGTGTTCTGGGATTCTGTCGAAGACTTTGGGCTCTACCTTTTCGAGATATATTGGAGTATCGCGCGTTAGGCGTAGCTTGAAGAGGGTGGAGTGGTGCGAGAGATGGGCCAACAATGCTGACCCTCGCAAACTCCCTCCACTCCCTCGCCAGCGACTTGCCCTTATATACCTGGGCATACTCTTGTAGCCTCGAAAGAAATCGCTTTTGCCGCATACATAGCAGCAGGACATTGTATTCTAATAGGTATGGATGGGCCCCGGTACACTTTATATACTTTGGAAAAATTCTCAGAACACTAAAACATCTGTGTAGATTCCTAGCTTATCGCCGAGCTATCAATATACGTACTGCCCTCGATATGTTTTGTACCCATACTTACATGCGATAGTAGCCGAGCAAGCGACGTCGGTATCCAGCACTCCCGCCATATGCGCACTGATCAACCCCTTTGTCGACTGTGGTGCAACCGTCCACCGCGCCCATGTCAAAATCAACCTTGAAGCGTTCCAACTACAGACGGCTTGAGCAGACCGAGCTAGACGAAGCACGAAATTTATCTATCCCGCCGAATGAACTTCGAGACAGCTGAGCAAGCGAGCGACTCCTCGACTTGGAGATTGCAGCGTCCACCTGCCGCCCTGGTGGCGATCCAGAGCGATACAAGAGCCGCGCGAAGCTGAAAAGCAAGAAACAGGGTACGGGTACGACGACAGAACCTTGGAGGCCGATCATGTCGGTCTTGCAAACTCGACAACGATCACCGCGTGGCAGAGATACGTTCATCTGTATGGACGCGCAGATCCACCTGGCTGTCGACTCCGATCGAGAAGCAGCTCCTGTGGCTAGTCCTCAATACCGCCCACATGACCCGAAAGCAGGTGTGACTTCGCTTTCGATAATCTTCAATGATACCCCACGACCGAGATACTCCAACCATTCAGGGCGACTGTCGAGCACTAAAAGGACGCGCGGGCCTCCGCGTGCGCATTATGGCGTTTGCCTCGGACTAGACAGAGCGTGATGTGAGCGGCCTGCATGGGCGGAGAGAGGCGATGGTTGGAGTGTCGTGAGACGATGGAACCACCCCTGATCCAGAGGCCAACTCAGCTGGGACAGTCCAAGTTATGGGCTCGTGATGCGCAACTCCCCCAGCAGCTTCAGGCGAGAGTCTCAACTCCAACCTAGTGTCCATATGGAGGTCCAGGCTCGACGTTTTGTAGTACGGACAGTTCCATTGCCAAAGCACCTTCCATCGCGAACGATGCCTTTCGCTCCCGTCATCGCTCGCTCCGTAGGGTACTCTGATGAGAGGCCCACGATATTGAATGCTGATGTCACACTTGTACGAGACGACCGCCACCAAGGCGTGTCATAAACAAGATATTCGCACAGTGGGGAATGTTATCTCTACCTTTGCGGGTAATTGTAGCCAGAGCCGTGAGCGACTAGAGGCGAAAGTTCGGACCTTCACTGCGCTGCCGCCAGCCCCGAACGCATTCGACGTCCCAAGCACATGGTTCGATGGTCCATTGCTTGTGCCAGACACCCTCACTCGGAGTGAGTCGCTCGCGATAGGCGTTCTCTGCGATTCCCTCGGCACGCATAGTGTGTTAGCGAATTTGCGACACTCTTCGTCAGTCTCGAGACACCAACCGCCGGACGTAGTAAGTAGTCTAGAGTCGATCTGGTGAGCCCAGTAGACGTGCTATCGATGTATTCAACGGCATAGAGTAGCGTTCAAGACAATGGCATCGACTAAGACGTCAATTCGGCGTGGTGTCAGTGCACGCGTTGGAGGTGGATCAAGGCGATTAGACGGGTCGAGAGTGAGCCTCAGTTGGGCGTACTCGATGATACGGTCCCCACACGCTCTGCCTGGCATGGCGTAAGCTGTCCGTGGAAATAAACAGGCGTTCAAGACTGACGTAGCCTTACGGTCTCGCGGAATCCACGCAGTCGCGGCTACGAAGACGGACATAAGACACCAACGCAAGACAAACTCAAGGGCCGTTCCGATGTATGCTACGACGTGCTCTCCATGCAGCAGACGGCATTTTACCTAGTATCATGCCGATCCAACTCGGCTCGAGAAGTCCTGACTGCTATTGGTTCTGACTTGAAGACGTGCTTCCAGAAACGAACGTAGTTGACTTGGTATCCCTATCAGGTCTCGGCGTGCAGGCCCAGGGCTGTGATCTTGAGATACCTCTCAAAATCAGGATATTCCTTGACTTGTGGTCTACCTTGTATAGAACTGAGCATTGAGTGAGTGGAGCGGCGCGGCACGGCAGGGTACGGGATCGTGTGCGTGTTATGATAGCGGTTTTGTTTGAAGGCGTTGTTTCGGATGTTCGGTATAGCGATTATGTACACACTATGTGGCATTGATGGAAACTAATGTTGCCGGCTACATGTTATGTGTATTGGATGAGCACACCAATCATCTCGGTAAAGCAAACAAACAAGAAATCGAATGGGTGCGCTGCACTCTACATTGATACAAAGATGAAAGTTAGTAAGGTTTTAAAGGTAATGTAGACTTCTGGGAATTATCCTTTCGTTATTCACTGCGGGAGAAATGCGATAGTCTAATCATCCGACAACATCTCTCATAGTGTGGCGAACTCGTGTTTGAAAGCCTACGTAGAAACACATACATCGCAAAACTATCGCACAACAAAACCAGACTCCATTTTCGCGGGCCTACCGCCCATCGTGGGTATCATACCTGAACTGAACGGACGCATGAAAGCAAACCCTAGATATACACCCCATCTCACTACCATTTCCACACCCCAATTGCCTACTTCTCGACCTTCTTAACCTTCTTCTCTCTCTTCACTTTCGGCTCTTTCTTCACCTTCTTCAAGTTCGGATCAAGCCCGCATTCCAGAAGAGAAGTCAGAATAGGTCCCTTGCACTGTTCCCTCGCCACGCCAACCTTGCGCTCCAGCTCAGCGCGCAACAGGGTCATGGAATTATCCTGCGGCTCAGGAGTGCAGAGTTGCTTGTACGACGCCTTGATCTCTGCAATGTGAAATGCGATAGCTTGTCTGCCAATCTCCAATAACGCTATCCTCTTGGCTTTCCAAGCGGTTTCAAACATGTCGACCATTTGGTCGTAGGGACTGTTCTTTCCGCATATGCGCGCTTCCAGTGTCTGCATCTGCACCTCTTTCATGGTCAACTTGCCTGTCGGTTTTGCCTTTAATGTGGCAGTGTAGACCGGTTTCATTTTTTGGGGAAAGAAGTCACCGTTGCCGTCTTCAGTAAGACGTCCTCGGAACAGCCGAAGGAATATCATGAGGTCTTTGCCGACAACATTATACATCTTGTAGAGTTGCGGTTTCTTGTCGTCAAGGTTCGCTACGAAATTCTTGCTGTCGAGCTGTTCGGCGGCAACGCGAAGGGCTTCCAGGAAGTCGTCCACGACTCCTTCTAGCTGGTATGCAAGGCTACCCAGCCTGGAGGGTGCTTCTGCGATTAGCTCCTTGAACAGCGGGTCGAGCGTCTTCTGGACAGGACCCAGAAGCGTAATGTTCCAACTGCAACTCGGCAGTCCCTTTGTCCGGTGGTTGCCTAGCTTGTTCAAGTAGCACCGTACGGCGTTGCCATGCAACTTTCGCCAAACATTGTTGATGTTATGGTGACCTTCGTTCTTCCAATCGCCGACTCCTTCTCTCATGCTCTTAATCCTCGGAAGGATGAGTTCATTTTCGAAAACGTCGAGGAAGACTTCGAGCGGCTTCAACAATTTGGATGCGAATTCTTCAAAGTTGAACCTGGGCCCTGTCTGCACCGGCCCGGAAGTCGTGCTGCAAGCGAGCTCGATATAGCTGAAGAGCTCGGGTAGTGTTCGCCTGTAAAAGCGAAGAAGATCTTTCTGCAGCCGTTCATTGGCGATAGCGGCGAGTTCCCTGCATAGACTGGGGATTTGGGTGGACTCAACGGACAGCGGCAGATGCTCGTCGGTGTACTGGTGATAGCCCTCGACATGCTCCATGTAGTCTTTTGCCGAAGTCGTCATAACTGTCAAATTTTCGTTCTGCTTTGCGAATCTTTCCCTCAGCCTGTCGCTGATGCGACGACCTCGTTCTCGGGCACATATTTCGTTCTCTTCGAGGGTCATGAAAGCAATCTCGCGGGCGCAGTGGTCTCTTTGCGCATAGTCTGTTGGCGCGTAGCTGTCCTTCTTTCTCCGAGTCTCTGCTTTACGTTCGGCTAGCCAGTCGAGATCAGCTATTTCATGTTGGTTGAATGATGCATCTTTGCGATCCGATGGGTTCAGATTGGACTCTCCCATTGTCAAGGCGATGATGATGCGTTGGTCGGGTCTCCTTGTAGTACGGTCACTAATTAAGTGGTCAAGAAACGCGCTATCGCCAGCTCTCGTGATTTCTTCAGCGACTATGACTACTTTGCAGTCCTGAAGATATCGGTTCGCTTTTGTTTCACGGTCCTATCAACACACGGTTAGCTTGAGCGATGTCAACCTGGGAAGGGCGCAAGCTTGCCTTGTTGATGTCTTGTAGTCCGGGGCAGTCGCCGATTGAGTAGCGAATCCGAAAGTCACCAAAGACCTCAATCCTCTCTACGAGCGCAGAGGGGTTGAAGCCAAGTTTGGTGTCGTCCATCTTGGCTTGATCGTCGCTGAATTGCGCGAGCTCTCTCCGCAGCTCCGTCACGTCGGTAGCGTAGATACCCTGTGCGGACATGTTGGCGATCTTCTGGCGCCGGTCCTCAGCCCACTTGACGCATTGGCCAAACGCATCCTTTTGCTTCGCTACTGATGAGAATTTGTGCGAATTGACATCATATCCTAGGAATGTCCAAGTAGATTCGTTCGACGCGAATTCTGGAATGTCGCTGAACAGATTCTGAAGCGCCCGTAGACTGTCTTGGCCTTGATCGTCAAGCTCTATGGGCCCTTCCACGCATCTTTTTAGGTTCGCTACAAGATTGGCAAGATGCTGTTGTACTGAATCTCGACAGTCGATCTTGCCGGAAAGCTCCAGTCTCACCTCGTAGGGTGTTTGTATGTGCGCTCGACGTGGTGAATATACAATTGGAATGCGAGTTGTTGCCACGCCGCTTGCCCCCTAGAAAAGTTAGATGACGTGATGCTTTGGGGAGGTCGTGCTTACCGATCTTGCAATCCCATCGATGCCCAAGATAGCATCTATCAATTTCGACTTCCCCTGCCCAGTCTTGCCGACGACTGCCACACGCTCGGGTTCGCTTTGGTACTCGTCCATCACCTCGTTGAGTTTGGGTCTGAGACTTGCGGCTAGTTGCGGGTCTTTGTCTGGCTTAACAGCTAGGATGAAGTCTTGTGGAATCTCCAGGCAAGCCCTCTCGGCTTTCATAAATTCATCATCGTAGGCGAGTAGATCGGGCAACGTTTCCGTTGCTGGATCGTGACGAACAAAGTCCTTCGTATTACCCTTAAGATATTCTTGATATCCTGCTATTCTCCGTTCTACCCGCCGTTTTGCGGATGGGCGTACTGCCTTTGACTTGGCTGGCTGTGCTTGCTCGGAAGCTGTAGTGGTCAGTGTCTGCACAGTGGCCGGTCTTGGATAGGACCTTAAGATGTGATACTCACCTGGTCTTTTCTTCGGGTTCACCATGTTGGCCCGAGAGGTGCTTGGTTGGAGAACGGACGCCACCATCTCAGATGGTTCAAGGCGTTACGATCGCGACTGTGGAGGTCTACTATTACTGCAACGAGGAGTTAGCAATGTGTGTGGGGGGACAGATGTCGCACGCTCTGCATATGCTATATAGATAAATCTCTGTGCAAGAAAAAGCTTTGGCTGCAGCGGCACATGATGCGATGAGCAAACGCTGTCTGAGACAATACATGTTTATTGCCGTTGATGTTTGACTTGTTGGTCGCATTGCAGAGATCGAGCAATGCTTCCATCGTGCATGGACCAGTCTTGTTGTCTCAAATGTCTTGCCGGTCGATTTGTCCCAGACGTTGTCGTGACACCAATGCTGGAATGCTCCATGGTCTGTATGGCACGCTCATTTGCGCGCACAGCCTCGCGCACGGCTAATGACAGGTGACAGAACTTTAAAACTTCCCGCACGGTTCGGCATGGCAGAGGAGAAAGGGAACATGAGAATACATACCGGAAGCGAGTGAGAATTTAAAAGCAGCAGATTCCTTTGCTGTGCCGCTCGCGATGCTAGGGAAGGAATGATATGTGCGCGCCGATGGTCCGGAGGGGTTGAAAGCGATTTGTCGCTGATAAGACGCGTCGCGCATGCACCCAGGCGGCGTAGTACTTGGCGTGCGTGCAAAGACGGTCGCGATGAAGGAAATGAGGGACGCGCCCAGTGTGTTATAGAATCTGACGTGCGAATGCCGCGAAAAAGAAAGCAACGGTGTGGAGGGGAAACCTGGAAGAGGTGGTCGCAAGGTTCTGCGCGTCGAGATACACGGTCGCACTTTCTAGCTGCAAGCAACACCAGGTACTAGCAGGAGACGAAACGGTACGAAGGCAGGTGCGCTTCTCTACCTTGGGGTTAAGGGGTTTCAAATACTCCACCCTCGGTATCCTCTAATGAAAATGACATCAATTTCTTCGCCGTTAGACGATGGCAACACAGCGCGAACCCCCAGCGCGTTCTCCCGGCCGTGCGCTAAACCCTGGTCTCAAACTCAATGCGATCAACATGCCGCGTGCAGATGGCAGTGAAGAAACCCGTTCAGCGGTCGTCCAGGTGAACATCCCAATGGCCCGATTCTAGAGGAAGTGAGATTGGATCACCTAGGCAACATCCCACGCCATGTTGCAATGGGTGAGTTCGAGATTGCCGGCCAATACTTGTATCCTGTCCGCTAGTGAAGCCCCGAAAGTTTCTTCAATGTCGAATGTGACAGCTTCTTATCGAACTCGAACCGTCTACCTAGCAGACGTTGAGTGCATCCTCTCGTGAAGACGCTTGGAGTGAGTGAAAGCGTCGCGACCAGCAGCATGCATCGACGTTGCTGCCGCTGCTGCAAAGAGCTCGGGCCAAGGAACGCGAGCGGAGCTTCGGTCGGCCCGGGCATAGCGCGCTTTGTGGTATCAGTTCCAGAAACTTCTGCCTCGAGCTCCCCTCTACATAATTCGCATGAACACCTCGACTCCTTCAACATTCTGCACCTGCGCCTTGATTTGTCGCTTGTAGAGTTCCGTTCCAGCTTGAGCGCTATAATTTGTAAGTATTCACCACCCTTTCCCAATCCTAGAATGATGAGACACAAGCTGGCACCAGTCTGAGAAGACTTGTACTCTTTATATGCGGATCAGCTGCTTAGACTTACGAGTCGCCCTCTGACAATCTCCCACTACACGTGTTTTTCTACATACTATGAGAGGCCGAAGCTAACAACTTCCTGACAGAGATTGAATCGAGATCGAGCGCGCCGCCGAACATCACCATGGTCCTCCACAACCCGAACAACTGGCATTGGGTCAACAAGGATGTGTCGGGATGGACGCGCGAGTATCTTGACAAGGAGCTCACGCAAATATCGGCTGAGCAGGATGGCGTCACAGCCAAGATCGACAAGGTCGTTAGCATGGATGGAGACGTAGACGTGAGCCAACGCAAAGGCAAAGTGATCACCATCTTCGACGTGAAGCTGAAGCTCGAATACTCAGGTACGTCCTTTCTCAGCTGCCTTTCTTGGTCGCGCTGACTCAGTCGGCAGGCAAGAACAAAGAGGGCGAAGAGGCTAGCGGCACCATTACCGTCCCGGAAGTCGCTCACGACACGGAGGAAGACGAGTATGTCGTATGTTCCCTTCGCTGGCACCGTCCTTTATCTCTTCGCACCCGCCAGTGTACACAGTCACTAATGTCTTGTCACAGTTTGAGGTAGACGTCTACTCCGACGAAGCGAGCAAACAACCCGTAAAGGACCTAGTACGATCCAAGATCCTACCGCAACTGCGAACAAGTTTCACAGGGCTTGCGCCAGCGGTCATGGCGGAACACGGAAAGGATATCCAACACGCGCCAGGTGCGAACCCCGGTAGCGGCTTCTCGGCCCCAAAGGTATACTCGAGCTCAAGCGTGAACAAATCCACCTCCCAGACGGAGGCATCTGGCTCTCAAAAGAGCAGCTCTGGTGCTGTTGTCAATGTGACCACTATCACCGACAGCACAGAGTTCCGCACCGACGCGGCGAACCTGTACCAGACCTTCACGGACCCTCAGCGCATCGCTGCGTTTACACGGGCACCCCCGAGGAACTTCACAGGTGCGAAGCCTGGCGGTACCTTTGAGCTCTTTGGCGGAAACGTCAGTGGAGAGTTCACCGAGCTCCAAGAACCCACACACATCGTCCAGAAATGGCGACTTGCGCAATGGCCTGCGGGACACTACTCGACACTGTCGATATGGTTTGATCAAAACGATGTTGATGCCGTGACGGTTATGAGGGTCGAGTGGAAGGGTGTACCAGTTGGTCAGGAGGAGCCCACTAAGACCAACTGGGACCAGTACTACGTGCGCAGTATCAAGACGACCTTCGGCTTCGGTACAGTATTGTAGATGAGCGTCCACCTCGAATTGCATCCCAGCATGACATGGAGTAAGAGGCGTTGGAGGACTTGACGATTGCATACGAAGTGACGGATACGAATACACAACGATTGTAATGGCATGAGCCCAATAAGATATATTCTGAACAACGACTCCCACCCATCGCGTGATGTCTCCTTTCCGTGACATGGAATTACAAGCCGTCTTATACAATGATTACACCGAAATGACTTCTGACGCGGCGCCGAAGACATGAAGCTGACCGGTGATGTTCGGTTAATCGGTGCTACCTACCTGCCCATATAGGATTAGATAGTCTGTCACTATCGCCATGACCGCTATCAAGCCATGCAAGCTTGCACAAGCTCTTGCCAATGCGCGCTTGGACGGAATAGCGGGGTAGCTTTTCGTAGCGTCTCACTCAATTAACAAGGGAACAGGCTCCGGTCAGATTCACGGTCTCTGTCCGCCCGTATGGGCCGTATCGCATTTTGTATGTGTAGGTCGCCTGGAACCAATCCATTGAACGCGTATAGCTCTAGCGATGGCTGATCCAGAAGATATACTCTAAATAGGCCTTTGCCCATCGCGCGTCGCGAAAAGCAAACCGCAAGTACCGAGCTACACCATGACGTCGCCGGTACGAGCAACAGGCTACGCGGATAGCCACGACCCCGGCCTCCGGGACCGAGATGAGCAACTTTTTAGCCTACATGGGAAGGTGAGAATTGGCTATCGCGACGACTGCCGGCCTTTCTAGTCGGACCTGCATAAGCTTCCAGAATAAAAAGTGAGAGTGCTCGTCATACTGCTCTTTCTCTGTTTACCTTCGCTCTTTCCCACTCACTCAATCATCCAGTCGGACAGAAGTAGCTCGTCGCCCCATCAAGATAAGACTTGCAATTGAACCGACGATGAAGAGCGCGACAGGAAAGCTTCTCGCCGCGCCTTTGTTGGCTGCGGGTGCTCTTGCGCAATTCGTGCCCGCGCCAAAGGATCTTATTACTAAAGAGGGCTATGCGAATGTCAGTGTACGGTACAAGGAGGTACCTGCTGGCATCTGCGAGCTCGACCCAAGCGTGAAGAGCTACAGTGGTTACGCGGATGTGGCTGAGGACCAGCATATCTTTTGGTGGTTCTTCGAGGCGCGCAATCAGGACCCGACCGATGCGCCGTTGACTGTGGTAAGTTAAGATGACTTTCGGATACAATTTTAAATACCGCGAGCTCCTTCCTAACATCATGGAATCATACTGACATTGTGACAGTGGATCAATGGAGGCCCAGGCTCCAGCTCCATGATCGGTCTCTTCCAGGAATTGGGACCATGTGGTATTGGCCCAGACATGAAGCCGTTCAACAACCCGTACTCGTGGACGAATGCAAGCAACATGCTGTTCATCGATCAACCAACAGACGTCGGTTTCTCGTACTCTATTCCTATCCCCGGCTACAGCGACGGCAGCACGATCGTTCAGCTGCCGAACGCGACCTGCCCAGACTATGCTGAGAACTATGGAACTTGCGGCACATACTCCAAGCCGGACCACACCCTGACCGCCAACAGCACCGAGAGCGCGGCGCCAAACATGTGGAAGACACTGCAAGGATTCATGGGTGCATTCCCCCAGTACTCGCGCAACGGCTTTAGCTTCACCACCGAGAGCTACGGCGGTCACTACGCACCCGTATTCAACGCCTACTTCCTCGACCAAAACGCAAAGAACATCAGCGGCGCACACAAGATCGAGCTCGAGAACGTGCTGATTGGTAACGGGTGGTTCGATCCACTTGTCCAGTACCAGGCCTACTACAACTACTCCGTCTTCCCTGGCAACACCTACGACTACGACCCGTACAACGACACAGTCAAGGCTGAGTGGTACAACAACCTCTACGGCCCTGGAAACTGCGTAGACCGTACCAAGCAGTGCTACGAGACGGGAATCAACTCGGTTTGTGCAGCCGCAGATGACTTTTGCTACTCCAAGGTCGAAAACCTCTACGACATCTACAGCGGACGCGACGAGTACGACATGAGGTTCTTGACGCCTGACCCGTTCCCCTACGACTACTTCAGAGATTAT